GAGGATCAACATAGTAAAAATGGCAATTCTACCAAAGGCAATTTATAGATTCAATGCAATCCCCATCAAGATCCCATCAAAGCCGGGCGATGGTGGCGCACGCCTTTAATCCCAGCACTCGGGAGGCAGAGGTAGGCGGATCTCTGTGAGTTCGGGACCAGCCTGGTCTACAGAGCTAGTTCCAGGACAGGCTCCAAAGCCACAGAGAAACCCTGTCTCGAAAAACCAAAAAAAAAAAAAGATCCCATCAAATTTCTTCACAGATCTTGAGAGGACATTAATCAACTTTATATGGAAAAACAAAAAACCCAGGATAGCCAAAACAATCTTATACAATAAAGGAACTTCTGGAGGCATTACCATCCCTGACTTCAAACTCTATTACAGAGCTACAGTAATGAAAACAGTGTGGTATTGGCATAGAAACAGAGAAGTCGACTAATAGAATCGTATAGAAGACCCGGATTTTAACCCACAAACCTATGAACACCTCATTTTCGATAAAGGAGCTAAAAGTATACAATGGAAGAAAGAAAGCATCTTCAACAAATTGTGCTGACACAACTGGATGTCAACCTGTAGAAGAATGAAAATAGACCCATATCTATCACCATGCACAAAGCTCAAGTCCAAATGGACCAAAGACCTCAATATCAATCCAAACACACTGAACCTGATAGAAGAGAAAGTGGGAAGTACCCTACAACATATGGGCACAGGTGATCACTTCCTAGGTATAACCCCAGCAGCACAGACATTAAGGGCAACATTGAATAAATGGGACCTACTGAAACTGAGAAGCTTCTGTAAATCAAAGGACACAGTAACTAAGACAAAATGGCAACCCACTGACTGGGAGAATATCTTCACCAACCCCGCAACAAAGGTCTGATCTCCAAAATATATAAAGAACTCAAGAAACTAGACTTTACAATGCTAATTAACCCAATTAAAAATGGGGCACTGATCTGAACAGAGAATTCTCAACAGAAGAAGTTCAAATGGCCAAAAGACACTTAAGGTCATGCTCAACCTCCTTAGCAATCAGGGAAATGCAAATCAAAACAACTTTGAGTCTCTTGTCGACCCTAAGATGGCTCCCTTAATTAAGATATGTGCTTCCCTGCTCCCCTATCCAACCTTCCTTTATCCCAATCATCCTGTTTCCTCAAGTTTCCCCCCATCCTCCCCTTCTCACTTTCCCTCCCCATCTCCACTTTCCCCCCTCCCACTCCACCCCCAAGATCCCAATTTTTTGCCTGGCAATCTTGTCTACTTCCCATAACCAGGAGGATAGCTATATGTTTTTCTTTGGGTTCACCTTTTTATTTATCTTTTTAGGATATCAAATTATAGACTCACTGACCAAGATTTATGGCTAGAACCCAATTATGAGTGAGTACATCCCATGTTGGCAAGAGACTTGGACCTAGAGGGGCTCCCAGTTGCCCAGGACGATGTCCCCAGTTAGTTCCTGGGGCAGCTGAGTATAGGGAACCTGAAATGACCCTATCCTATAGCCATACTGACGAATATCTTACATATCACCATAGAACCTTCATCTGGCAATGGATGGAGATAGAGACAGAGACCCACACTGGAGCACTGGACTGAGCTCCCAAGGTCCCAATGAGGAGCAGAAGGAGGGAGAACATGAGCAAAGAAGTCAGGACCACAAGGGGTACACCCACCCACGGAGACAGTGGGGCTGATCTACTGGGAGCTCACAAAGGCCAGCTGGACTGTGACTGAAAAAGCAAGGGATAAAACCGGAGTCTCTGAATATGGCAGACAATGAGGGCTGATGAGAAGCCAAGGACAATGGCACTGGGTCTTGATCCTATGTAATGTTCTGGCTTTGTGGGAGCCTAGCCAGTTTGGATGTTCACCTTCCTTGACCAGGATGGAGGGGGGAGGACTTTGGACTTTCCACAGGGCAGGGAACCCTGACGGCTCTTCAGACTGGAGAGGGAGGGGGAGAGGAGCGGGGTGAGGGGGAGAAGAGTGGAAGGAGGGGGAGGGAAATGGGAGGCTAGGAGGAGGCGAAAATTTTTTATCAATAAAAAAATTAAAATAAAAAAACAACTTTGAATCAAAAACACCAATGATAGCCTTTGCTGGAGAGGGTGTGGAGGAAGGGGTACCGTCATCCATTGCTGGTGGGAATACAATCTTGTGCAATCACTTTGGAGATCAGTGTTTCGGTTTCTCAGGAAATTCGGGATCAACCTACCCCTAGACCCAGCAATACCACTCTTGGGAATATACCCAAGAGATGCCCTATCATATGACAAAAGCATTTGTTCATCTATGTTCATAGCAGTATTATTTGTAATAGCCAGAACCTGTTAACAACCTAGATGCCTTCAATGGAAGAATGGATGAAGAAATTGTGGGATATATACACATTAGAGTACTACCCTGTGGTAAAAAACAATGACTTCTCGAATTTTGCATGCAAATGGATGGAAATAGAAAACACTATTCTGAGTGAGGTAACCCAGACCCAAAAAGATGAACATGGGATGTACTCACTCCTAATTGATTTCTAGACATAAATAAAGGTCACGGAGTCTATAATTGGTGAACCTAAAGAAGCTAAATAAGAAGGTGAACCCAAGGTAAAACATATAGTTATCCTCTTGGCTATTGGAAGTAGACTAAATTGCCGGGGAGAAAACTGGGATCTTGGGGTTGGGGTGAGATGGGGGTAAGGGGAGATGGGGAGAGAAAAGTGAGAAGGGGAGGATGGGGGGAATTTGGGGAAACAGGATGATTGGGATAAAGGAAAGTTGGATAGGGGAGCACGGAAGCACAATTCTTGGTTAAGGGAGCCGCCTTAGGGCTGGCAAGAGACTTGAACCTAGAGTGGCTCCCAGAAGCCCAAGGCGATGTCCCCACTTAGTTCCTTGAGCAGATGAGGATAGGGAACCTGAAACGACCCTATCCTAGAGCAATACTGACGAATATCTTGCATATCACCATAGAACCTTCATCTGGTGATGGATGGAGATAGAGACAGAGACCCACACTGGAGCACTGGACTGAGCTCCCAAGGTCCCAATGAGGAGCAGAAGGAGGGAGAACATGAGCAAAGAAGTCAGGACCACGAGGGGTGAACCCACCCACTGAGACAGTGGGGCTGATCTATTGGGAGCTCACCAAGGCCAGCTGGACTGTGACTGAAAAAGCATGGGATAAAACCGGAGTCTCTGAACATGGCGAACAATGAGGGCTGATGAGAAGCCAAGGACAATGGCACGGGGTTTTGATCCTACTTCATGTTCTTGCTTTGTGGGAGCCTAACAAGTTTGGATGTTCACCTTCCTAGACTTGGATGGAGGGGGGAGGACCTTAGACTTTCCACAGGGCATGGAACCCTGACTGCTGTTTTGACTGGAGAGGGAGGGGAAGAGGAGTGGGGGTAGGGGGAGAAGGTTGGGAATACGGGGAGGGAAATGGGAGGTTGGGAGGAGGCGGAAACTTTTTTTTCCTTTTCTCAATAAAAAAAAATTTTTTTAAAGATACACTGTATATATGTATAAATTTTTCAATGGTTAAACAAAAATAAAAATTTAAAATAAAAAAGAAACTCCCTAGAATCTACTAGAATGACCATAGTAAAGAATTCTTGTAGTGTGGAATAGTTAATCTGAACAAGAAAACTTCTATAACCACTGAAGACTTCTAGAAGTGGGGCTTTAACACAAATCTGGTCACAAAATTTGACCTATAATCTATCCTTCCTGTAAGATGTACTGGGGTTATGGTGGAACAGAATGCGTGCGAGTGGACAATCAATGACTACCCCATATTTGAGCCCATGCCATGAGAGGCAGACAAGACCTGACACTGCCTGGATGGCTAGGAATGAAATGCTAAACAACCCAAAAATTCACGATAGAACCAAACATGACTGGAAAAACATTTCAATGAATTAATTACTAAAGATAATTTGTTATACTCATAGATAAGTGCCTAGACTAATACTTATCAGAGAGGCATCATCCAGCAAGTGATGGGAGAAAATCCAGAGGCAATCAGTAGAACATTTGACAGTAGCAGGGGAACTCCCCAGAATAGGGGATTATAGGAATCAGAAGGGGAAAGAACCCCATGAAAATATGGACATCTCTGACTCTTTTTCCTGCCCTTCAGACACTTTTCTTCCTACTAGGTTGCCTTTCTCATCTCTCATATGGTAAGCATAACAAAGCTTGCCATGCCATGTTCCATAGATATGCCTGGGAGGGTGCTCATTTTTTAAGGGAAAGAGAAGGGTGGGTCTGGGGTAGAGGGGAAGTGGGAGCTTAGGGAGGTGTGGAGGGAGAGGAAACTGGTTGAGATGTACTATGCGAGAGAAGAAGGCAGAAGGAAAGAAATACATACTACAGGAAGACTCTTATGTGAAAGGTCCCACTGTTGATGCCACTCTCAGGATGAAAACAGTATGATCTCCTTTATGTGAAAGACTTTTCATCAAAAAAATGTGGATCAGAACTATTTAGAAACCAGTTATATCCACAGTGAAACATACACAGTCCTTTTCCTGTCAATCTTTCTCATTTCACATGGATGATTGATGTGCAGGCAACATTGTGCCTAGTTGAATTGGGTAAACAGGGAATGTATTTGAGCATATGAGAGGACGTTTTTCTCTATGCAAACAATAGACATTTTCACAGAAGATTCAGAACATCCAAATTTCGAGGGTTTCTAAAATTAGGTGACATAAATTCTGATGGATTGCTATATATTTGAACCACAACCTTAAGGGCTGTGAATTTTTGGTTAACATATTGATATCTTTATTTTCCTTTTAAGACATCCTCACTTTAAATTCTGCCCTTCCCTTGTACATTCATGTATCCCCTGATTACATACTAGTAATGCTAGTTGTACTTGAGTACAACTAATCATTTTCATCACATTATTTTTCTCTATTTTGTACACCCTTGATTAAGAAATGCCCCAACTCTGCAGCAGGATGAGAGGTGTGGTCACTCGTTCATGACGGCTAGGCTCACTGGGGGACTGATCTTCGAACTGACTTGGTTGAAGACCTCACACTGATATTCTCCAGCATCCTCACTCTTGACAGGATCTATTTTGAGTCCACACTTTGTTGGGGACAAAGTCATCCTCTCTTTGAGCTGCAGATTCTTCTTATTGAAGATCCAACGGATAGAGATATTAGTGTCAGGTGAAATGCAGGAGAAGATCACAGATCTTTGTCCTGTGACTGTGGTATCAGAGATTTGCACAAAGGGCTGTGTCACATTCTCTGTGAAGAAACAGAAAAGGGTCCCAAATGACAGTAGTCCAGAGAAACCAACCAGGCATTCCTTAGTTCATACTTTATAAAGCTTCTATGTGGAAGAATTCAGAGCTGTGAGTACAGACATACATTGTGCTTTGAATCTGACACCTAGGGACTATGTGACATGATTCAGGCACTGTTTCCTGTGTCTCCATTTCCTCATAAAAGGACACACAGTGAGTAGTCATTGCTGTGTCCATGAGTTAAGCTTAGTTATGAGCAATGATCTGGCCTTGGGATGGGGAGCTGCTGACAACAGCAGCATCTGTTATTATTTACCTGCAGAAGAGAATTCCCTAGGCTGGACTCCTGCAGGGGAAGGAGGAATCAGAAGTAGCTACCTCTCTGTTTCTTACCTTGGTATCTTGCCCTTCCTGTGAAGTCTCATAAGTCCATCAGAACAATAGGATAATGACCCAGATACCTGTCAATTGAGCCTCAGGAGAAGGAGATACACAGGTGACCTACCTAGCTTGCAGTTGTCATGGCAATACACAGATGATTCTATGCTCTAGAAGACAGTCAGTCCCATGACTTGAACAGTCAGTAAAGCCTTGTTCATGCCAGTTCTTACAAGAAACTTAAACAGTTATAAAAATCTCCCCAGTGTCACTTTGAGGCCACTAGGGACCAAGTTTTAGAGTCATGGCATCCTGGTGCTCTCTATGAGCAACACATGGTGTCACCAGCCTGGGACTGCCTAACTCCCAGAGAGTCTTTTTGGGGACATGTGCATCATGAGTGCTCCAAGTGATGCTGACATTCTGGGGCTGAGTTTACCCAGCATGAGTCCTCCACTCCCCAGGGAATGGGCAGCTGAGGGTTTCAATCTATTGCTGTATATCTATCCCATGTGTGTCTTGCTGTAAGGGCCCAAACCACAATTGGGGGACACAATGCAGTGGTAGAGAGAGCAGGCCTAGTCCAATCCTGGTATTTCAGTGTATGAAGTAGAATAAGCCACCCCCAGGAACTAGAGACCATAGAGAGTTACTTACTGTATATATGAAATTTCACGTAGGCTTCTTCTATTTTGAAATCTTTGTTTAAAATTGCTAGTGCATACATTCCTGCATCTTCCTCAGTGACATTCAGGAGCATCAGGGATCCGTCTTTGTACATTGTCCCTCTTGGTTTGTATTCAGGCTCCCAAGAGAGAGAATACATGGCTGAGCTGTATTCTACAATTTTAATGACATGGCCCCTATATATCGATTTGTACCAGGCAAAGCCTTGCAGATCTTCTGGAAGATTATGAACGTAAAGAAGTACATCATTCCCTTCAACAGCATATGGAGGCAATGGTTGGATCATGAGTGGGAAAGGAGTGAGAGGGTTGCAACACAGAGAATGTGAGGCTGAAAAGGAAAAGACAAAAAGTCATCACATGGGTATCCTTGTATTGGTGAAAAGATTCTGACCTCCACCTTACGCAGATAGATTTGTCACTCAAGCTAGAGTTGCAAGTTTGTGTGTGTTTGTGGGGGTGGGTGGGTGTCTATCCCACATAATGAAGGGCAGAAACATGGCCTCCTCCTTTCCAAAAGTGCCCCTGAAAGTGTTATTTCATCCCCATGGAACTGTCCCCCTGGGAGTCTACATGACTAATTCCTCACTGCCCTCAGGCAGATACTGCTCAAATAATGCAAACTGGGGTATGAGATGATGCCTCTCCTGAACGCAACAGGCCTGTAACTTTCACTTTCCAGATTTTTTTCTTCAGTTTACTCTAAGGCAATACTCAACCCCTGTCTTCATCTAATAGCTGTACTTGTTTCTCTGTCATGTAGCCCCTAGGTCTGGGACTATTTGGAGACTAGGTGCAGTCTAGTTTTCAAGGCAGACTTAGGTCTTTCAAAAGCTTAGATACTAGGCTAGCTGGTTTTATGTCTAGTTGACTCAAGATACAGTCCTTTTACAAGACAAGGCCTCAGTTGAAAATGCCACCATCAGATAGGCTGTTAGCACAACTATAATTCATTTTTAAATTGGGGATTGATATATAAGGATTCAGACAAATGCAGGCAGCTCATGCCATGGGCTAGGAATCCTGGGTGACATAAGAGAGCAGGTTGAGCAAGCATGAAGAGCAAGCCAAGAGGAAGCACTCTTACATGGTCTCCGCACCAGTTCCTGAATTTTATTTATGACATTCTCAAATTGGAGCTAATAAATATCCCAGTTTGACATGAATGTTATAAAACCATTGTTCCCTATTAGAGTTGATAGGATGTAATAATAGAGCATTAGAAAAATGATCCCCTCTGTTGCTTTAGTGCAACCTTTGAAAGATGAATGGATGAAGGACTGCCTTGTCTTAGAGTCCAAAGAAACTGGGCTGTCTCTCACGTTTTAAGATGAGTTACTTCCCATTGACATCTCCCTTGATGCAGGTGGATTGTGAAGGTGAAAGCTGATCCATTTGTCTCTACCAGTGTGTTCTGCACTAAATGCTCAAATATCCACATGATGACACAGTGCAGAGAAAAGAAGGCTAGGCCAGCCATGAAAGCCCTCTGCGTAAGCCCCACCCAGCAGTGAACAATCACAGAGAATCACTTACGGTCCACTTGGAGATGCACATGTGCTTCTTCACTTCTCATATCTGTTCTCAGAATAGCTAGAGTATAAAACCCAGAGTCTTTTTGAGTTACACCATGAAGCAACAGGGATCCATCCCTGTACAATGTCTCTTTGCCACTATGTGCAGGCCCCCATACTGTTGATTTCTTCTCTATTATGTATCGGGCAACTTCCTGGCTCTTAAACACAACCATTCCTTTGAACCAAGCAAATGCTATAATATTCTCTGGGGGATTGCGAACAATTAGAAGAACACTTCCTCCTTCAACAACGCTGGATGGCACTGATTCAATAGTGGGCTGGCCAGAGGTAGCGAGACGTCCACAATTCCAATGGAAGGCTAGAAAGGAAGTAAGAGATTTAAATATATATAGGCACTTTTGTATTTAAAAAAGATGAAGTCCCATGTCCTGAGCAGCTACGCCCACTGATTGTACCAGGTTTGTGGTTGAGTGTCCTCCTGTCCTACTTGATGGAGGTCTGCACATAACCTTCATGTTTTCAATGTCCCTACACTCGTCACTTCCACTATATGGCTCTCTTTCTTCAGTTGTCAATGTTGCCCCAGCTTACTACCAACAGATCCTTGCTCACATTTACAGTGGATTGGTGTTGGGGTGATGCCTGACTAACTTCTTCCCCTACAAACCCTGTGTCTTCACTCTCTGACTTTGTTGTGTTCCTCTTGGGGTTTCAGACAACACCTGAATTCACCTTCTAGCTTTCTATACTTCAAGTCTACTCAAACTGGGACATCATAAGAACCATGAGTTTTTTTGCATTTTTTTTTAAAAAAAATATTCCTAGAAAAAATAATCATATACATGTGGAGACTAAATGACAGAATGATTTCCTAGAACCCTTTAATCCCTTGGATTTATTTAAGAAATTTATGAGTTTAGGGATACAGTATTGGATAATGCTATTTGCTTTGGTATCTTTACACTTGTTTAGATCTTATATTGTGTGTGAGTAGTGTAACAGCTAGTCTAGTGTATGTGGGTGGATACAGAATACAGTACTTAAGTGGAGCTCAAGTGGAGGTCAGAGGACTTCTGTTCATTGGTCTCAGTTTGTCAGAGAACGAAGCAAATGCCTATCTACATTGAACCATGTTAGTGATCCACACCAGCTTGATGATTTTCTGGCCATCAACCTACCAGCATCAGTTCTCAGAATATTGTGCTCTTGAATATTAACTTCATGTAAAAATAATGCCTTCCCCACCATTATTGTTTAATATTCAGTGAGAAAATCCTTATGCTAAACCTGTCTCCCATTTTGTATCTTCTCCCCTACAAACACTGAAACCCCTATCATATCCTTGTGCTTCTCAGGAGACTCCAGACAGTAGTCAGGCAGTCCTTTCCTCACACAGACTGTCAACTCCTGGTCTCCTTATCTGTGATCAGAAGGCATTGAGATGTGGTGCATCTTTTGAAGAGGAGGAGAGAGGGAACCTCCATTGTCTTAGTAGGTTGATCTGTCATCCCTTTGAGGTACTTCTGCTCCAGTACATCTCCAGAGCTCTGCTAGCCTTCCCCCTTTTGAACTGAGTCTCTTCCCAGGAAGAACCTCTCAGAATCCCATGGGCCGAGGATGGGTCTATGTTCAAAACAGTGCTCTGCCACTCCAGTTTAAATACTGCCCTGTGTGCCTTTCCCATTGTCTGCTTATGTTTCTGTACCCTAGAACACAGTGAAATTCAAGGGTAATGACATGAGATAATAGCAGCTGATCCTGAAACTACAATCTGCTGTACCTTGGCCAATGTTTGTCAGAATCAAAATGGGAAAAATCTGCACAATCCAGGTTGGCACCCAGTCTGCCCTGTGATTTCATTGCTCTGGAAACATGAAATTTGCTCCCAGCAGGAAGGTGTAAAACTGCCTTTGAGGCTCCAAATGGATCAGTGAGTGATGTGTAGGTAATTGAACAAATCTATTCTCCCTGTAGTTACCATCAGATTGGATTCTGACCGAGATCAAAGACCCAGAATGTGTCAGGAGTCTCACATCTTGGGTGTGTGAGAGGAGGTGACCTGATTCCTGGAAAAAGATTCTGAGCTCCTTCATCTGATCCAAAATTTTCAAGACCATGCTCCCACTTCCTCTATTTGCTGAGCTGTGTAATGGATCTGCCTATGTGCTCAGGGGTCTTTCTGAGATGCCTTGAACATCTACCTAGTTGATTCCCCTTGAATATTTTGTATTTCCCAAAGGAAACACATAAAATGAAAAACAGAACATGGTCTCCTGGCAGTGTGGCATAAACATTAAGCATTCAATAGGTCTGAGAATGCTGTGATGATGATTTCCACATCTGAAAAACAGGGCTGAACCCAGGCACCAGGGTAAGTGCCCGATTCAGGTGAATACTTTTCTATCAGTCCATGGTGTGTTCTGATTACATGCCTGGTGATCACTGGGAGAACTACAGCTCATGTCTGGGAAGCTGTCATATCAGCAGAGCCTGTAGCCATTTGCTTGCAGGAGACAATTCCCAGAGCTAGACCCAGAGGACAAGCACTTGTCAGACAAGATCCTCTCACTGGGGACCATAAACTTTATGTGAAATTTCTTATACCCAACAGGAGAGTTAGATAATGGCCTGGACATCTGTTGATCTATGTTGCCTGCCGACTCTGAAGAAGATGGCCAAAGGATGTATCCCAGTCAAGGCTCTCACAAGAGTGCCCTGCCTGGTTCCACACATCACAAGACTTTGACGAGTAGGGAGCACTGTTCCCTGCCATCAGGGAGTCAAAATTCAACACTTATAAAGTGTTTCTCATGAATACCTGGAGTTGAGTCTGGGACAGAGGTCTGAAAGCAGAGCATACTAGTGCTCACATCTCTGTGAGGAACCCATGCTTTCCTCAACCAAGTACAATATTGATTCCCTCAGGGTCTTTCTCAAGGAAACATTCCTGGTAAGAGCCCCTAGATTCTAGAGAGGTTGATAACCTTTGCTGTTTTACCCACCTTGCATCTACATGTTTGCAAAGTGAAATCAAATGAAGCATTCTGATCTATTGTCATTATTCTACACTATTTGTGTCCTGAACTAAATGCTCAAACCCCGAGATGGCAACACAGTTCATAGGGATAGTAGGCACAGACCACTCTCCTCTCTGTGTTCAGTGAAATGAACCTCACCCAGTTCACAGAGGTGACAATGAATCACTTACCATTCACTTGGAGGTACATGGTTGTTGTTGATATGACTTTTTTACGTCTGTTATAGGTTTGTAGAATATAGAATCCTGCGTCCTTGAGGTTGACATTTTCTATCATCAGGGATCCATTGCGATATATTGTCTCTCTACCACTGTACAGAGGACCTGGCCTACTTAAATTGTAGGGCAGTGCATATGCTGCAATTTCTTCTGTCGCATTTCTTAGAGCTTTGAACCAGACTAAGGATTTAGTATTATCTGGCAGATCATGCACAAGCAAAAGGATGTTTTCTCCTTCAACCACTCGACTTGACTCAGTAGTTATATGGACAGCAGTGGACAGGTGCCAGGAGGTTAAAAGGGAGACTAAAAGAAAATTGAGAAAAATTAATATTAGACTGGTGTGAGCATCACTTAGTATTGGTGTATGAGTAGGGCTGTGCCCACCCTCCTCGGTAGACATGAGCAACATGAGTGCCATTGACTCAGAGTTGTCTGAGTGTGTCAGTAACTCTCTTTGGAATTCTCTTCTCAGGTATCTTCCTAGATTTCACTCTGTGTCCCATATCCCTCATATCCCTCCTCAAAGAAAGTATTTGGTGCAGGGAGTATTGCCTCTCAGAACTTCTCCTCTGGAGTCTTCACATTCTGATATTTTTGTCTCTTTCATGTGTACCTTGACTCCTAAAACTTACTCTGTAGACAGGCTGGCCTTCAACCATCAAAGATTACCTACTCTGCCTCCGAAGTGCTATCTATATGAAAAGGCTAAGCCACAGATGCCTTGGAAGGTTCAGTTCCTAGAAAAGACTCAGACACAGGTGGCTAAAGGAAAAAAAGAAGGATGAAAAGAGAAATGTGTCTTTCTATGGATTTATCTTTATAGTTTCTAGATTTGGAGTTTTAACAATAAATATATTCAAGTGTGAAATAAATGACTTTAGATTTATTTATGTAAATATATGCGTGTTTTGTGAAGGCTGCTGTCTCCTTGTGCACATATGAAAATGTTTGCCACAAATCTGTGTCAGGCACATGTGCCAGAGTGGGCATGTGTAGATACATGAAGCACCAAGGAGGAGGCCAGAGTAGAGCAAAAAGAAGTCTGTTCTCTCCGTCTACAGTATGGCCGCTAAGGATGGGTTTCAGGTTGTCATATCTTCACACACTGAGACATCTTGCTAACCATCCTCTGTTTGATTTCTATTTGAAGAGTCATACTTTCATGGTTGGGAACAGTTGTCTTTAGAACATGCAATCAATGAAAATCACTGTGAATATGGAGTCCTCTAGGATTTTCTCTTAATATTACCACATCCTTTCCCCTGAGAGTTTCAGGCTTCTGAATCTCTGTCCTTCACTTTACCTTCAGTACCAAAACTGCAAACAGAAACCTTCGTTTCTCTGTCAAAATCCTGTCCTCTTTAGGAGACTCCATCCTGCCTCTGAGTGCCACTCCCCACACACTCAGGGAGTGGGTACTCTTACCTGTGAGCAGAACTCCCTTCCAAAGGGCACACCCCTTGTAGAAAAGCACTGAGAACTCCTCCATCAAACTTCTTACTTGCTGTCTTCCTTCTAAGAAGAACAACATCATCTGTGACATAGAACACAGGCTCTGGTGTTCTTTCTACTTCTGGGCTGAGATTCTTCTCAGACAGAAGCACTTCTCAGAATCCAATGGGCTGTGAGTGGTGGGGTTTGAGTCCAAGGCACTGCTCAAGCCCTTCCACTCTCAGTGATGCCCTGCATCCTTCACAACTTCCTTTTATGTTCCTTCACCAAGACACAAATTGTGCAATAATGCTGATAAGCATCCCCATGGCCTCAGAGAACAATGGCTCATCCTAGGGCTGACACCTGTTGTGTCCTTGCCTTGGGTCTGTCAGCACCTAACAGGGGGTCTCTATCATATCTATGTGTCTTTTATCATACAGAGACCAACCTGAGCACCCAATCCACCCTGCATTCTCAATGCTCTGGGAATGAAGTATTTACTTAATCTCTGCAGGAATGTGCCAGAAATATCTCTGAGAGCTGAAAAGAGATCAGCTGAGTGATGACTAGGGATGAAGATCAATCTTTTAACACTGATGTCACCAGTCAAATTAGTGATCCAGGAGAGAAGCCCAGTAGCAGTTGTATGATTAGTTTCATGTGGTCAGTGTTAGAAAAGAGGTTATTTGTGTGTTCACGAAGGGACTGTGAGCTTCTTCTTCCTATGGAGGGTTTCAAGACTACACTCGAACATTATGTGTTGGGTGTGCACATGTCTGCTTTGATATTCCTGAGTCACCTTTGGCCTTTCCTAGATGATTCCCAGGTGCTAATCTTGCCTTCCTCTTTGAGAGATGACAGAACAGGGGATAACTTCATGGTCCCCAAGCACAGAGGTGTTCTCAGACAAAGAAAGGGAGGTCAGAGAAGAGTCTAGGGAGGGTGCTCAAGATTAGTAGGGAATGAGGTGGAAAGCAGTATGCGCAGAGAAACAATTTTCAGAGCATTGAGCAGATGCCAATCTATCACCCCCTGGAGAGCACTAGAAGAACTAGAATTCCATGACTAGGTCTATAGCAGGCATGATCAAGAAGCCAAATATGAAATACCCTGATACATTCAGCATAAGTGGGATTCAAGGTCTGTCATCCTGTTCACTGTGCTCTTCAGGACTCCTAGTTCCTTCTACTGTATTATGGATCTAGACCGGGTTCCAGATATCTCCTGTGAAATCCTGTACTGAAGTTTGAAGCAGTGTAAATCCAGAGGTACTGTAGGAATCCCTTCAACCAGTAGCCTTTAAGATACCAGCTCACTTGGGCATGGTCTCTTATACGATTCATTCCGATGTAAAGCATGTGCTTGTTTACTCTCCCAGCTTCTGGATTCAGTTCCTATTCCACGTTTGTGCAGAGGGCTGTGATCTGTGAGTCTACCCCTAAATAAATACTCTTTATTATATGCAATTCTGAGATAGTGTGGAATTACATTGTAACTTCCATCATCATCTGGCACCCATGTAAATCCCAAATCTACACCTATGGGGATAGCCCAGAAAAGATCCAAAAGGTCTACAACTCAGAAGATCTTCCACCTCTCTCTGCCTGGCTTAATTTCACCTATTAAAGGGGCTTTTGCCAAACCCTGCCACAGTCACAGCAGAGCTACCATGTAGCAACTTGGCAATTTACCAGGATTGCACATGCTTCCCCCTACCCAATACTTTCCCTGCTGTGCAGCAACTTGTGCTGCTTCTGGTTTGTGCTCCCTGCTTGTGAGTTCTGGGTTACTTGTTCCATGCACAGAATTTATTTAATTGCTCTAAATCTGTCAAGCAAAGCATATTTGTCAGTATTTAATCAGGCACAAATGCACGAAACCAAAGTGGCTTAAACAGTCCCATGCCACCACTAATCTTGTCTCTATGCCAACATTTGTTGGTCAGTAACGATTATTACACCTGTAACAATTTATTGAAATCTAACAGCAGTAAGTAAATTAATAAATATGAAAGTTATACAATGGCAGACAATATTACCATTCAGAAATTTAATAATGTTGTTATTAAATTCTGAAAGGCTTATGTGATTTTACTTACACATCCATTTATTTGATTTTGGAAATTACTTTTGCTTTTCATATTATGTCATTTAGAAAATAGTTTGATAACAGAGGCAAGAATGAGGCACTTTTGGAAATTATACAGTCTTTAAAGAATAATAATGAACAGCTAGTTGAAAAAGTTAATAATATTGAAGAGGTTAGCATTAATTTTGATGGAGGTGGGTCTTGTATCTATCTGTTGCTTTCATTGGTTAATTAATAAAGAAACTGCTTGGCCTTTAATAGGACAGAAAATTAGGTAGGTGGGGTAGACTGAACAGAATGCTGGGAGAAAGAAGCCGAGTCAGGCAGTCACCATGATTCTCCTCTCTGAGATGGATGTCCATTAGACTCATCCCAGTAAGCAACACTCAAGTGGCAATACGGATATTAGAAATGGGTTAGATCAATATGTAAGAGCTAGCCAATAAGAGGTTATAACTAATGGGCCAGGCAGTGTTTAAATGAATACAGTCTCCAGGTAATTATTTCGGTGCATAAGCTAGCCAGGCGGCTGGGAGCTGGGGCGGCAGGAACACAGCCCGCAGCTCCATCAACATAATTTGACAGACAAAATCCAACCAATGTCGAAGGGTTCTGAGACATTATCTGAAATAATTTGTGCTGTTGAACTTAACAATCGGAATCTGTTGAAAAGTTATGGTAGGTTGACAGATAAGGTATCTCTCCAGAAAGTCAATATGCAACTGATCAAAATTATGTCCAATGATTAAATGTTATCATTACTGGACAAATTTCATACCTTGGAATCTCAATGAGGGCATTACAACATAACACTAGACAGGAGATTCAGACTTTATAAAAGGCAGTGGTAGAGAGATTTGAAAATACTGAGGAAGTTATCTAAACTGATGAGCAGGGGGGGAAAGTACAAGATTAAACTTCATCAGTATGTGCCAGATTCTGGAATGACTTAGAGTTTTAGCTGCCTATTCAGTAATATCCTCTGAGAAGTCATCTGGCACAAAATATCCTAACATAGTCAAAGAATATACATGGAGACCTATATAGGTATGAGTCATCTTAAAATAAACTTAAGCAAGCAATAGTGTATCATGGCCTGCATTCACTATTTGTCAGGGAAATGGTGAAAATGTGGGCTTCAAGCAATAATGTTATCCCACATGATTGGCTCCAATTAATCTCAGTGGTCCTAGAAAATGAGCCCCAGCTGCTAAGGAAATACTATGGGCAAGAAGAGGCAAAAATTTTAGAACAACAGGGAAAAGCAAAAGGATTTGAGGCTTCTCAAGATCAAATTCTTAGCAAGGGCTAGTAGTCTGATCCTAAGTACCAGGCTCAATATAATGAACACACCTTGTCCTTTTGTAGCACAGAGACTTTAAATGCTTGGAACAGAATTCAAGAAATAGGAAAGAGAATTGAATCATATATCAGGGTTAAACAGGGCCAGGGGGAATATTTCAGTGACTTTTTTCAAAGATTAACTAAGGCTGTACAAGTAGGAGTAACAGACCCAGAATCAAGATGTATACTTATTGAACATCTGGCATTTGAAAATGCCAACTTCAAATACAAAAAGATACTTGGGCCTTTAAAGGTTATATCAGTACCAGTGGATGAATGAATCATGAATACATTGAACATTGATCCATTTGAATATAATACTAAGATTTTGGTAGGAGAAAAAAATTTTCAAAGGTATGAAGAGACTGCAAAATGCCAAACGTTTTAATTGTGGTTGAATAGGATATCTGAAAAGGAATTGTAGACAAGGAATTCCT